CGTGGAGGACCCCACGCAGGAACTAGAAGTTGACGGGGGACTGTAGCCCCATTTGGAAAAGGACTCACGCTGGAGAAGGACTCTCCTGTGAGAAAGGGACTCCACGTGGCAGCCGGGAGGAAGGAGCGTTGGACTGACTGCACCCGCCGCTCCCTGCCCCCCTGCGCCGCTGGGGCGGGGAGAAGGTACAGAACAAAGCCTTTGGGCTTTGGGAAGAAGAGAGGGGTGGGGGAGAAGTGCCTTTTTAAGATGTGGTTTCTCTCTTTCAATATCTTGCTTCTTGTTGTAAATAGTTAATAAATTCAGTTGTTTTCTTGTTCTTCCCAAGTCGTGTGGGTTTCTTACCTGTGACCCTAAGTGGTGAGTGAAACCCTCCCTCGCCCTGCCTCAGCCCACCAAGTGTTTAGCAAAAACTGTCCCTGTGGCTTTATAAAGCACGACAGAGGGACACAAATGTGTCCTCTCCTTGGCCCGTCACTTCTGGTTTGGTGACTCTGGGTAGAAGAGGCACAACGATGAGGATCTCTCAGAGGGGCAGAGGAGGATGAGTCTGGGACCAGTTGACCCTCTTTCAGCATTTTGAAAGCCTAGCATTGTCCACGCAGTCTTAAGATGCTCTCTTTAGCCAAGAATTACTCTTCTGGGTTTCTTTTCTTCATCTGCTCTGTGTTCCCAGGCGTGGCCTCCTGGCTGGAGTTCCTCCCTGGCTGCTGGTCCTGAGAGCAAGTGTGATGTGTGAGAGCTCAAGGAGCTCGGGAGACAGTGGCTCCTTGTTCCTCTCTGCGCTGTCAGCACGGCTCCTTGGGCCATGAACAACACTGTGGTTTTGTCGCAACCAAATCGTTGTTGACTTCATCTGTGATCCCAGCTCAGAAGAATGCTCCGATTTGGTGCACTGGCCTCATGGGGACACAGCATGTCTCCATGTGCCCATGGAAGATGCTTGTGGTTGGTGGCCATGTGGCCTGTGGTCCCTAGACAAGACTTTACCAAGCCATGAGAATTCACAGGGGTTGGAGAGGGTTTGCCTGCAGCTATTGTGGTTTATGGTGTGGAAGGACTGGTGAAACCTCTGTGTTAAGTAAGTTTAGATCTTTGGTTTACCCAGTGGAGACAGTGTGGTACCTTCATTGCTCCTTGGTCGTGCACAAGCTGCAGGCCCATTCGGTGGAATCCTCCAGTCAGGAAAGCAGGGATTAGGTATCGTGAGTCTAGGCAGAAAAAAAAACAGTGTCATGAGTGTGGCCTGAGCTAGACGATGCAGGGTTATCAGCTCCCTGAGGAATGGAGCAATGCTGCAGAGCAGGGGCAGAACCACTGAATTGAGGATGTGTTCTGAGAGGTGGCAATTTCTGACACGCCTGGGTCTCGGTCCAGGCCTTCCACTTGACTATTGCACTGGGAAATGCTTGGGAGCAAAACCCAGTGGGTGTAATCTAAAGGCGCTGCTGGCTGGGCAGGATGGTTTGGAAAAGGACTTGATGCATGCTAGGACAGCTGCTGTATGGCAGGCGTTCTCCTGCTCTGGGAAGGTTTCCCAGTTCTCCTCTCTCTTTTTCTCACCCTTTAGGACCTTCCCTCAGGTCATCTTCCCTCAGCTTGCAGGTTGGCAGCACAGGTGAAACACTGCTCTTTTTCCTCCTCCTTTCCTTTTTTCCAGCATGTGATATGTATACAAGGGTTTCCAAGACCTTTCCACTCTCACAGCTACCCCGAGACTTCAGACCACTGGAGACCTTCCAGGAACTCGGTGCCTTAGAGCATCACCCAGCGTCAGCCACGCTTGGGGTGCACAGGGGAGGCCCTGGGTTGTGCCTCAGGGGCAACCAGCGCAGCCCGGGCTCATCCAGTGCTCTCGGGAGCTGCTGCGGGGACCTGTGGAGAGGCGGGGGGAGCTGTGGCTGGAGGCGAGGCAGGAGGGTGGCAGCAGTCCGCGTCCTTCCCTGTTTGTGAGCAGAAAGCTGCTTAGGAACCCGTGTGGCAAGTGGCAGGTTCTTCCAGCAGCACCAGTGTTGCCATCTGTGTGACTTTATTATAGGGGCTCTGATGTTAACCCTGTAGTTTCTGAATTATGTGGTTATGTGAAATTATCAGCTTTCATCTGTTTCAGATAAATTCCTGTTCAGTTTCTATGGCTGCATAGCAAAGCTGGGAAGCAGGGCTTATTCAGAGGTTCAGAACCCAAACCTGAGGTTGGAATGGCTTTCCTGTGCATGCTAGGCTGTTGCTGGGCTGGGTGCCTGTGCTTAATAAGTACACAGATACTTCTTTATTTTGAAATGTCTTCAAAGCTTAAGTTGCTGTAAGGTCCAGAAGACATCAGATGCTATTCCAAAGGGATACAGAGATGTGGCTGCAACATAGCCTGGACTAGAGAACAAATGGACCTGCACTGTGTGGAGGCAGATCCACGTCAACCAGGACTAAGATCTGAGAGTTAAGTTTGGACCCAGTTTTTCGGGAGCTTTCTGGACCCTTGAGATCTTTGCACTCACAACCAGAAGCAGCACATTTTCACCAAGAGAGGGTTTTCTTGCAGCAAACCTTTGTCTCAGCTGCATCAGTCAGGCTATCTAAGAAATCCTGCAGCTGAATAAGCCCATCTGACAAAAGGAGCCAGATGCACGGCCGGGACAGCATCCGGTACGTGCACAACCTCTCCCTGGGACACTGGCAGAGCGACAAACGTTGCCTCTGGCCTGCGGCCGCGGTGGCTTTTGTCCTGTCCTTGCTGGCAGGCTCCTCCCGCAGCACAGGCAGAGGGAGGCAGGAAATCCCCAGCAGCTGCTGTGGGAGCCCCTCTCGCCTTCCTTCGCCTCTCTTCTCCTTGTCTCTTCTCCGCGGCTCGCGGGCCGCTGCGCCCAGGCGAGCTGAGCCAGCCCTGCGTGTGTGTGCGTGCGTGGGCGGGGGGCTGCTGCATGGATTTAGCCAAGGCTGGGAGGGAACACATGGGTTGGGTTTTTTTTTTTTTCTTGGCCTGCAGCGGCTGTCCGTCCTGCTGGACGCGGTTATGGATTCGATCATTATTCAGGAGCGGTTAGTGGAGCGGCTGCTTTCTCCGCGGACGCAGGCACAGCGAAGCCACCCGGCCAAGCTGAAGGTACGGGGATGTATTTATAGCGCTGTGCAAACCGGGGAGCAGCGGGGACGGGGGGGAAGGATGGTGCCCGAGCAGACGTGTGCAGCACGAGAGGAGACCTCTGAGGAGCAGAGGAGCGGAAAGACGCTGGTAAGGGCGAGGTAGCGGGGACAGACGGGAGGGGAGCAGCCCCCGCAGGCGGAGGGGCGTGATGGGCAGCTGGGAGATGCGCGACATTTCTGTGTGGTTATTTCATGCAGTGATTCCCTGGCTGAACGGCGCGTGTCTGTGTTTGGGGGGGCTCAGGGCATGAGCTGTGTGCCCAAACGCAGCCTAGTTTGTGTTACCATGTTAACGCTGTGTTTCGCCAGCCAGTTTTCCCTCTGCTGCAGCAAATGCTGGTGGGCGAGTGGTTTTGCTGATAGTCCATTCTCAGCCCCAGGCCCGAGGCAGCAGATGTACGCGGGAGATGACCCGGGGGCTGTTGGCGTCATGAATTTATGCAGCTTTCTGGCAATGAAAGGAAGCAAAGGGTCTGCTGCTCCTCTGGGGCTGGGCTGTGCTGGTTTGTGGGACACAGATGTGACAGCCTGGCTGGGGGGAATGGCTGGAGGAAGGGCTGCGGGGGATGGGGGCTGCGGGGTGGCTGGTGCTGGAGGCTGTAACCCCGAGAGCCGCCCCCCAGGAAGCGGAGCCAGAGGCACCAGGATCCCAGCACAAGCTCCGTCATTTCTGGGGTTTGCTCCAGATGTGGGGTAGGAGCTATTCTTCAACTTTGCTGTGGCCCCATGGTGTTTAATTTTAGCCCTTTTGAATACACCCAGCAAGGCCCCACTTATCCCCAGGCTGAGTGGTGAAGTCACACGAGATCTGGATGGGTTTGAGCAGCAAATCCACCAGAGAGGTGAGGAGGGTATCGGGAACGGCAGGAGTGATGGAGGCCATGCTGTGTGCCCTGTCTTGGGGGTACAGACAGCCCCACAGACAGCTCGGTACTGGGGATGGCTTCTCTTATGCAACAGATCCTGAATGTTTCGACCACTGACAGGAACAGGACTTGAACCCACCGGTGCTTTGTTCCTTGGCTTGAACTCCCAGGGAGAGCACTGCTGCCAGGGAGCCTTGGCCACCTCGGTTGGCTGGTGGAGGATGTGACGTTGTTGCATGTTGCTGTGCTGTCCAGTGATCCAGAGAGCATGTGCCCAGGGAGTACAGACGTGTTGTGCTCGGCCTGAGGTGCTTTGGGTTGTAACAGGGCCCCAAAGTTGGCCACATCTCTTGGTGGCCTCCGCTGCAGTGTGTATGGCACGTTCCCGGACGCGTGGGAGTGGGACGCCGGTGGGAACAAAGGCAGCACGTGGAGGAGGTGGTGGGGAGAGGGACTCCCCGTGCTAGAGCGCTGCTGGCTTGGCTGGCCAGAGCCTCTCCTGGCAGCTGGGGCTGGCGAGGGAAGCACAGGGCAGCCACCGGCTGTCCCAGCTCGTGTCAGCTTGATGGGAGCTGGCTTGTAAGGGTCAGGAGCGTGCAGAGGGGGCTGTGATGCCTCCAGGAATTCCCTCTGTCCAGTTCTCTCATCTAATTACTGGATTTTAGCTTTTCAGAACCCAGAAAGCCACCTGCCTCTTTCAGCAGCTCTCCCAGCCCTTTATACTCCCTTCAGTGTTCTCCATCCTGCATGCAGTTGCTCTGCAGATAGCGTCTGTGTTGGGTCCTAACGAAGATGATGGGCAGTGTAGAGCTATGAGTGAGGCAGACACCAGGCTCAGGAGGCTACTTGGGGTCCTTAAATGAGATGTTGATGTTGGCACGCTAGCCGCGGCAGTGGCACATGCCTGTGACAGTGCCTGAGCATGGCTGGGATGGGAACATGTGTTGGGTGTCTCAAAGCCAAGATGAGGAACCGTGGGTCCAGGCTGGCTGTGGTGCAGGGACCACGCTGCTGTTCCTGAGAGAAGGCTGTTAGAAGAAGGGGATCCTTCCCCACAGTTTCCCCTCCATCTCTTGCCTTCCCCTTCGCAGAGGCACTGGCCACCGTCTCCCAGCAGAGCTCTGCAGGGCACCTGTGGCTCATCAGAGGGAGGCAGAGCTGGGGACAGAGCTTTTCCCCTTGCGACTCTAGCTGTTCTCTTGGCCTTGTGCTCAGCACTGACCTTCCTTCCTGCGAGGGAAGTGGCCGCGTGAGTCATGGGTAAAGGGCAGTGTGCTGCACCCGCCAGGGTTTCATGGCTTCAAATGTTGTGATTCCACCAAGCTATGGGGAGGTCACCAGCATGCAGTAAATCCACGCTTTCTTGGTTGGGCTGAACTGAGACAGGAGATCAGGTTCAGCCAGTTACACTGTGCTGAAGTAAGCGGAGTTGCACCAGAGCTCAGGTCCCCAGTGACTCCATTGTCAGCCCTTAGTCATCTAGGTTAAAAAACAAAGAAAATAAGAGAAACACACCCTAAGCCTTATCTATGGTTTCATTACCACTTTGTCAGTACTAGTTCATGTGTCTAGTCACTGGACAGAGCAGGTGATCGTTGTCTTTCCAAAGTCTGGTGAAGATCAGGGCAGGTCTCTTCGTGCTCCAGACCCAAAGCTTGGATGGATGAGAAGGGGAAGGATGTTGTATGTTTGTGCCGCTCGCTGAGCAGCACTAGTCCTCACACTGGGAGGTGCGGGCTGTTACGTGTGCACTTTGGTTGTGCTCATGGATGTGTTTCACTGGGAAGCAAAGCAGCAGGAGGCAGCCCTAGCACCGAGGGACACAGGCTGGACCCAGCCCTTTTTGTCTTGTTTTCTTGATCTTGCCATTGTCCCATTTCTCACCCTGCTTTGCACACATTGTATTTACCCGTTACCAAGCCTTTTGGCTGGCAGTTCTCAGTGTCCCCCAGGCAGGTGTTGCTTTGCTGTGTGCAGCTCATCAGAGCTGCCATCATTTTCACCCTGGGCTCTCACCGCTGCTTGCTGCACCGCTGCTTTGGGGTGCCAGTGCCTTTTAGCTCAGCCATTAGAGCTGCAAGGGGGGCACTTCAGACACACTCTAATTCTCCCCACTTCTAATTTCATTTGTTCTGTCCCTCCCTGCCTTTCTGGACTGTGAGGTGGTATAGCAGCATTACTTCAGCTACGTTGGCAAGGGGATGAGCCCTGTCTGTCAGGGCTGAAATGACCAAGTCTCAGATCCAAACCAACTGTGCTAAAGAAGAGTCCTTGGGCCACGGTGGCCATCAGCCGTGTCTATCCCATCTGAGTGGGCAGCTCCAGAGCAGCCGTAAATTGGGAGGAGACTCTGCATCCTCCCTGCTGTCTGTCCACACTGGGACTTCGCGGTTTTCCTGGCTGAGGATGCCCGAGGATGCTCACACGCGTGGACATGCAGCCAGAGGCTGTCGAGGGCTGGTTGCGGGCTGCATTGCCCACTTGTGGTATGGAAATAGGTGAGAGTCAGCATTGCCCTAAGCTCAACACACGATTGTAATTTGAGCTTCGGTGAGTGTGTGCCCCAGGAACGGAGACAGTTAAACTTGGGAACAGAGATCTTCCCTGCCGTGCCTGGAGAACCAGCGCCAGAGAGCTGGGGGGTGAGCCCAGCCCTGTGTTTGGAGGCATCTGTGGCCAGGTGGGAGCTGGGGCTGGTTTTGAGGAACTCCGGGCTCTGTGGTGTGGATCCCAGGGGTACGTTTGTTTTAAGTGATGTTGAAGTGCAAAGTCTGTGATGTTTCTAGCTCAGACACTTGTGAATGACTGCTTCCCCTTGGGTCTAGCTTGGAAAGTATGTGAGAAGCGAGGTGTTGCCAGGGTCTGTCCCCACTTTCCCTCTGTGGTGGGGCCTGGGCAGGGTAACACACTGCCGGGGGGGCTGCGAAGGCCCAGGGGTGCTCAGGTGGAGGCTGGCTGGACGGAGAGGCTGGGCTGCGTGGCGCACAGTTACCCAGCTGTGACAGGACCAGGTGCTGAGCCCAGCCTGGGAGCAGGTCTGTGATCCTGCAGACGAGCTGTGTTCGCCTTTCGAGATACATCCTGCACGAGCAGGGTGCGTGTCCCGGAACGCAGCACAGGCTGCGGGGTGTATGTCATGTGCTTGTGAAATGCACTGCTGGACATGTCACTCCTTGTGTGCACTTAGTGCACTTGTACAGAGCGTGTGCCTCGCTTGTGCGGTGGCTGTGGCTGTTGTACATTAAGAGAGTGCTCGGTGATGGGGGGCTGCATCTGAGGGGTAGGCAGTAGGTAACACTCCCATAATACCCTATATAGTAACCTCACCAAAAGCATCTCGCCTGTGTTGCCAGTACTTTCGCATCTTCCCACTTCCATGCTCCTTGAACTTCTGTCTCTTCAGAGATAACACTAGACATTGTTCAGGATTTCCTCTTAGCCAGGAGTGGCTGTGACACAGCAAGAAATAACCCCCTCTCGTGTCAAAGAGAAGCCAAGCTGCTGTGCCTTCCTCTAGACATGGCTCAGGACACCACAAGCCCTGGGACGCTAGTTACAGCGAGCTATCCGTCACGTACCGCACGCGCCTGGGGAGGGAGAGATGCAGAAATGGCTCTGAAGGACCTGGGGAGAGGGGACATTTGGTGACCCTGCCTGGGACTGTGCAGGAGGAGCAAAGCGTCAGGACAGTTGTGTGCTCTCTGGTGGGAATGGCAGGATGTGCCTTGTCCCTTGTGGTCTCCATAGTGGAAGGCTGGTGACAGCAGCCAAGCAGGGCTGTGGCGGAGCGGTGGTGGCTGTCGGTGCCCTCCCGCGGGACAGGCAGGAGCCCCTGGGCCTAGGGGAGGTGCGAACCCTGCCCCACACTGCTGCCAGGGCAGGGACCGACTTCTCCACCCCTTGGCTCTGCTTTGGGGGCTCTTTGAGTGCAGCTCCCCGTCGCTGTGTGAGCACGAGCAGGGGGGCGGCATACCCTGACCGGCTCCCGCCTGCCTCTGCCCCGCAGGACCATGAGAAGCAGTACGTGGGCTTTGCCACCCTGCCGAACCAGGTGCACCGGAAATCCGTGAAGAAGGGTTTTGACTTCACCCTGATGGTCGCAGGTGAGACTGCTCGTGGATGGAGGTGGCTGGGCCACGCAGTGGGTGTGCGGAGGGACCTGCTCTCCCCGCTTCCCTTGGGTGCTCCCTCAGCGCCTGGGTCCTTCCTTTGCTCTGTTCTGGTCCTTGTCTCAGACCCTGCCTTGCTCCCAGCTGTGCTGCAGTCAGACAGTTCCCCAGGAGGAACGGACCGTCCCTGGTCACTTGTAGTCCTCTCGAGTCAGCACCCAGTGTAGCTTCTCCTGCAGCAGAGTCTGGTCTGGGGGGTGAAGACAGGGCCAGCTAGGGACTGAGGGAAAGGGAGGGGAGGGAGGATGGAGGAGCTCAGAGATCACATTTGTACAAGGATTGAGATGTCTTGCTGCAAAAGTCCTCCCACGGCTGGAAAAATGTTATGCTCATAAACAACTTCTGACAGCTCATCTCTGTCACTTCCTCTGGTTCAGGATTCGAAACCTTGCTCAGAGTTTCATTTGTAAGTCAATTAGTGGGTCATGTTGCTTTGCTTTTCCCTCCTCTCCTTTGCGATATGTCAATTAGGAGAGTCGGGGCTGGGCAAATCCACGCTGGTGAATAGCCTGTTCCTGACAGACCTCTACAAAGACAGAAAGCTCCTCAATGCAGAGGGTAAGTTGGGGACAAAGAGGGTAACTGGTTCTTGCACCCACAGGTTTAGACTGTCCTAAGGACCAGTACTCGGGTTCCTTGTGTCAGCAGCAGCTCCAGGCTGGGCTGGATCCCAGCCCTGTTTGTTGCTCTGCTATCCTTTGCTGGCTGCAGAGGCACCAGGATTTGAGCAAGAGGTGTTTGGCTGTGGGGCTCTTCTGTCCTAGGAAGGGAAGGTGAGGCTGCAGAGCAGCACTAGCCATTTGGGTTGAGATTTGTCTTTTGTTCTTGATTGCTGGGGTGTGGTAGGGATTCCCCTTACTAACTGAGTGGACAAAATGTTCAGAACAGCTGGGCTACAAGCGCAGCAGAGATTTGTGTATCTTCTCAAAGTCTGTCTGCATGCTGTGGCCTCCCATGCTACCACTCCCCTGAGGTTTCTTAGAGGGTGATCAAGTTTTTTTGAAATCCATGTTCCTCCCTGTGCTCAGTAATGAGGAGGGAGCTGGCTTCTCCTGGGTGTGAGCGGGGATCCCCAGCGTTCCTGCCTGGCTTTAACTCACCTGTTCCTGTTCAAAGAGAGGATCAACCAGACAGTGGAGATCGTCAAGCACACGGTGGACATTGAGGAGAAGGGTGTCAAGCTGAAGCTGACCATAGTGGACACACCAGGCTTTGGAGATGCTGTTAACAACACTGAGTGGTGAGCAGGCCACTGCTGCCTTCCTCCTAGTCCTTGGCCACTGTGGGTGTTCTGTGGGTGCTCCACAGGAGGGGGGGCTGGCAGTGGGAAGGGGATGATGCTGCCCCATAGTCCCTCGGAGACACTGTCCTGTTAAGCACATTGTTTTGTTTTGATTGAATTGCCCTTCCCAGCTGGAAGCCCATCACTGACTACATCGACCAGCAGTTTGAACAGTATTTCCGTGATGAGAGTGGCCTGAACCGGAAGAACATCCAGGACAACCGCGTGCATTGCTGCCTCTACTTCATCTCGCCCTTCGGGCACGGGTGAGAGCCCCTGCCCCCGGGCTGGGGCGTGACTCAGTGCGGAGGGAAGATCCCTCTGCCCCAGGATTGCCATATAGTAGCTTGTGCATTGGCAAGGCTGTTGGCTCAGGAGAAGAGCCGTCTGGATGCTCTCCCTCGGCTGAGCATCACACCAGCTCCCTCCCCACGGCTGGCAGGACAGACTGCCCGTGCTCAGACAGAGTGGAGCTCCCTCGGGCCTTACAGCCTGTTCTGTAAATCAGGAGAAATAATGCCACACCAACTTGTATCTTCCTCACTAGCTCAGCCTGACTGATGGGTAGGAAAGGGAGTTTTAGCTGCCTTCAGTCTCTGCCCCTTGCTGGCGTGTGCCAGCTGGCCTGGTGCGGCTGGAGGGGGTCCCGGGCCATGGCCTGGGCAGTCTGTGGGCTGCAAGGGGTGAATACCCAGCCCATGCCTGGGTGAGACATTCAGCAGATAAAACCTGAGACAGGTTTCCTGAAGATACAGTCCAAGCTGAGGGCTGTCCCAGCGCTGCCCCGGCTCTTGTGACAGTGCAGTCCCTTTCCCTTCGTGCGGGGTGAGTGGGAGAGGCTGGAGGGGGAGCTGCCCAGTCTGTCCTTGCTAACTGTGGCCCTCCTTGTCCCTGCTGCAGGCTGAGGCCTGTGGATGTCGAATTCATGAAGGCTCTGCATGAGAAGGTCAACATTGTGCCCCTGATTGCCAAAGCTGACTGCCTGATCCCCTCTGAGATCCGGAAGCTAAAAGAGAGGGTGAGATGCTCTTTCTCTGCAGGGATATCCCTGATGTGGTGGCAAGGATATGCTGAGGAGGGAGGGGAGCAGTATACCTGAGAGACAGATATATAATATAGCGTGTGTTTGTGTGTGTATATACACACAGGACCTGCAAATCTAATAGCAGCAGTGCTCTGCTATGAGAAGGGAGGTGGTGTCTGCAGAGAGGCCGGCTCTAGAGGGAGCATCAAATCCTTTCACCATGTATAGGCTGTAGCGAACACATGGTAGCACAAACAGGGAATAAACCCAGCGTTTCCCTGTTGCTCAGTGTTTCATCCTCTTGTTTTTGTCTTTCATGGACACAGATCCGGGAAGAGATTGACAAATTTGGCATTAAAGTGTACCAGTTTCCTGAGTGTGACTCTGATGAAGATGAGGAGTTCAAGCAGCAAGACAGAGAGCTGAAGGTAAGGAACCCGCTCAGCAGACGACTGGGAAGTCTGGCTCATGGGTATGTTGGTTGCTCCAGAAAGAGCCAGAGCTGCCCTGTGTGTGCCAAAGGCCTTTACTACTGATACCCAGGGGACAGCTTACGTTGGCTCACATGGTAGATGTCCTGGAGAAGGTGCTGATGTCCTTGCTGGTGCCATGAAGTCAAGTGTGGCATGAAGACATGGCACTTCTGCTCTCCCACCAGGCAGTGTCAGTCTTTCCTCGCTCTACCCCAGCCCGTATGTTTAAGGTGGAGGCTGGATTGTACAGCATTTGTAAGCACCTATTTCTGAGTGATGCTATCAGCAAGGAGGAGTGATTTGTGAGTGATGAGGCACCACTGTGACATATTAGTTGCATGGGGGGAGGCCCCAGCAGCCCAAGCCTGATTGTCTTCCAAGCTGAGCCAGCCCTAAGTGTGCAAGCAGTATGGCCTCGTTTCTCCTGTCAGAGAGTCAATGGGCTTTGCCTCCCTTCTGAGCAGAGAGGAGCACAGCCTGTACCTCCCTGCCTGGACAGGCTCTTGGTCTTCATTGTCCCACTTCCTTGGTGTCCAGGCTCCTCTGCTCTGGCTCCCTTGTAGAGTTTCCCCTCAAAGAAGGGATGTGGGCAGCTGCAGAGACACAGCTTCCCTCAGGACAGCCGAGAAGGTCAGGCTGGGAATTAGGCTGCCTGTAGATCCCAGTGCTTTAGGCTTTTCTCGGCAGCTGTGTTGTGGTGTCCTGTGCTGTGGCACATGTGGATGTCCCTGTGCCTTTCCTACCAGCACCTTCCTCCTCCTGTTCATCTCCGCTTGACCTTGGCCCTTGGAGGAGGGGTCCGTGGGCAGTCCAGGGCTGAGCTGGGCTCAGTGATGCCTCTCATTCCAGGAGAGCGCTCCCTTTGCTGTCATCGGCAGTAACACTGTGGTGGAGGCAAAAGGCCAGCGAGTCCGTGGACGGCTCTACCCCTGGGGCATTGTGGAAGGTAAGTGTGGTGCCTAGGAGCTGGCACAGAGAGTGAGAGGCGGGCAGGGATGGGGGAAGGACAGGGATGGCAGTGGGCAGCTCACCTCTGCCCAGCAGTGACTGATGGTGCCACCTTTGGCAGGAGACAGAGGGGAGTAAAGACAGTGGCACTGGGACTGGCTCAGGAGGTCTGTTGCTGGGGGTGTAGCGGTCACCCTGCCTCTGAAGCCGTGAGATACCGAAGAGAGGCTCCACTGTGCATGGAAATGCCTGGGCTTTAATGCACTGGGACATGGTTTCTTATTAAGGGGAGAGGCTGGCCATTGCCAGTTTGGTTTCTGGGGAGAAGCCTTTGCCCTCAGCCAAACTGAATTGTAAGCCCTCTGGCACTCCCTCTTTCTCTGCTGCTGCTCCTGTGTGTGCTAGAGTCGCCGGGCCAGAGGCTGTGCTGGTGCACAATGTGTTTGTCTCTATCTTCCTTTCTAAAGGGGGAAATTTCATAAAGCCCGTAGGCAGGATAACCCTGGAATGGCTTTTGCTGCTGTTGCTGACTCCCCCATGCCGGTGCATTGCTTTAAGATCTTGCAGCTTTAGATCCCCAAAGCCTATGTGTGCATTTGTGGGCTGGTGCTGGCTGCTTGTGCTGCCCAGCTGCTGGCTCTGCTCTCACTGGCTCTGGAGGCTGTGCTTGTCGGGGTGCTGGCATTTGGCACTGGGATCAACTTTGTGAGACCGTAAGCCTGACACAGCAGGCTTCCCCCAGCGCAGCGGAAAGGTACATGGAGATCACCACGGCAGGCACACACTACCGAGCCCAACGCTTCCCTGCAGAGTCCCACGGTGTTGCCTGGGGCCTGGCTCCCTGTGGTAACAGCAGCGCTTTCAGCTCTCCAGACCATTGCCTGCTCAGGGCTTTGCCCCTCAGGGGCTGATTGAAGTCTCTGGGGGGAAGCCATCCTGCCCACAGCAGCCTTTTGATCAGTCCTAAATTCTGAGGAGACAAGCAGTTTGCCTCCAGCACTCATTGTGCTTATAACAACAACATCCCAGGTACCTGGGAGCAGCATCCTCTTCCAGGGCTCTGCTGTATGTGCTTAATTAATCCTCTTGCCCAGAAACACTCCAGGGATCAGTGACCTCAGCAGCCTGGCCGTAGAGTTGGGAAGCACAGAGCATCCTGGAGGCCTGTGCCAGGGCCAGGAGGAGAGCCCCAGGCACTGCTGGGGAAGAGTAGGAGGGGGAGGATGGGGAAGGGGCCCTGGGGGGAGTTTTATCCAGCCTGGGTGCCCGGAGGTGGGAAGGGGCTCCCTGGAGAGGGCTGGTGAAGTGTGACATCCAAGCACTCTCCTGTTGTTGCTTCCGCAGTGGAAAACCAGGCGCACTGCGACTTCGTGAAGCTGCGGAACATGCTGATCCGGACACACATGCATGACCTGAAGGACGTCACTTGCGATGTCCACTATGAGAACTACCGAGCTCAGTGCATCCAGCAAATGACCAGGTGGGTCCCCACTGCTTCAACTGGAGGTGGCAGGCGTGTCTCGCTCTCTGCAGAGCTGGGGTTGCTCTCATAATGGCTCCTGAGTCAGGAGGCTTTGTGTCTGCTGGGGATGTGCTGGTTGCAGCCTGGTGAATGGCACTGGGAAGTAAAATAGCAAATACGAGAATGTGTCCCACAGCCTGAACCCAGCGCGGGGATCCTTCTGAGAATCTGTATTCCTGTCTGAGGATTCTCCATGCAAACCTTGGGAAGCAGGCCTGGAGACTCTTTTGAAGAGCTGTTCCTAGCACTGGGTGAAATATATCCACCCAAATGGAACAAGAGATAAACCGTCTCTCTGGTGGGTGACAGCTGTGTGCATTGCCAAAGAGGAAGGCATTCTGTAGTCTGCAGTTCTGTCCAAATGACAGCATGACCTCTGGGATGCTGTTGTTTCTCAGACAACAGAGCCCAGGCAATTAGCAAGACTCCTAACACATCTCCAGAGACTGCTCTGCATTGTCTTCCCCTGGCATTTTTGATTCTCTGTGGTTTTAGTCACAATAATCAGAGAACAGAAAATAATCCCAGGCTTTTCATTTGACAGCCATCTCTTTTTTTCCTTCTCCCTTCCCTGACTGAAATATTGGTGACAAATTTTAAGTAGGTCTTGGCTCATCTGTTGTAAACCATCCCCTTCACGTCCTGCCTTCACTGGCTGGGTCGCTCTGTGCTGCCGTGTTGCAGAGCAGAAATGGCTGCACTTCACCGAGGAACAGCCCTGCATGCGTGCAAACATGGGCACATTCTGTCCACACACAGTGCATATCAGTACTTTTGCATAGCAGACGAGCTTGTCTTTTTCAACAGTGAGAATATGGAGTCCCAAAATAACTCTTGTTAAATGCTAGAGATCTGTGAGAAGTGTCACAGCTGCTATTTAGGTAGGCTGTGTATCTGTTAAAAGAAGAACACGATGAAAAAGCAATTGCTCAGCTTAAGAAAAGCTTAAGTTTGTCGCTGTTTCTCACGCCATGACTAGTTCCTTGCCAGTGAACAAGTCTTGTGAAAGCAGAATGTGGCCATTTCTAGCAGTGGATAAGGGTCCTTCTCTATAGCAGCCGTTCTGGGAGGAGATCCCAAGCTCTAGGGCTGGAATTGACTCAATAATGAGCCAATGGGGACTCCAAGTGGTGGATGCCTGCAAGTGGCATCTCAGGTTCCCAGTTTCAGCCCAGGCGTCCTTGACCACCACCACCCCCTCCTCACCTACTGAGAGCTCCTCTGACTTTTGGAAGAAAGTCACCTCCTTTCTCTGTCCCCTGCCTGCACTGTGTGCACCCCCAGCCCTCATCGCAATGCTGCGGTGCCGTGCCTGTTGCGTCTCATGTGTCCCACCTCCTGAATACGAGGGCAGGTTTTGTTGTCAGACTTGCAGTGATTAAACTGTTCCTCTGGTTTTTTCTTCCTGGAAAAAAAAAAAAAAGGACCGTGGTGAGTGTGTGATGCCTTAGGGATGCTGGTGGTTTGTGTTGGTGCTGTGTATATGTGTAGGCACATGCGCAGATGAGCCAAAGGAGACCAGATAAACTGTCTGTAACCATCTCTGCTAAGCTTTCCAATCCAGTTACAAAAGGGTGTCAGAAGCATCAGCCCCTTTTGTGTTTGTTCTCAGTGTAAGTGTGGTTTGGGTTTTCTCCTTTGGCTACCCACCAGCTTCTGTTTTAAAAACTTTTATTGACTTTGGTCTCATTCTTCATCCCAAGTGCATCCCCCACCTCTGGGCTAGGTTGTCCCACAGCCCCCCCACCTGGCTGGGGGCATGCTGCCGTGTTGCTGGCAGGTCTGCCATCGTGAGTGACACACTGTGACACCAAAGCCAGCCAGCCTGAACCGCGACTGACTGCGTTTCTTCCCTCTCTCCATCTCTCTAGCAAGCTGACTCAGGACAACAGGATAGAAAGCCCGATTCCTATCCTGCCTCTCCCAACACCAGACACTGAGACAGAGAAGCTGATCAAAATGAAGGATGAGGAGGTGAGACCCATTTGTGGGGGACCCATTTCCAACAGGGGGCTGTAATCTGAGGAGTTTCTCCAGGATTGCCCCATAGAAGCTGTTCTGGGGCTTCCCACTCTGGCCTCTCACCTCCTGGTGTGGAGGACAGGGTGTGGAAGCTGTAGCTTCCTCTGGCGGGTAAACGTGGCTCCATCCCACCCCGGACACAGGTGCCTCTGTGCCCAGGCAGGAGTTAATACTCTCTGAGGGATCCCTTTGTCAGCTGCAAGGGACTGCCCCCGGTGCAGTTAACCAGCTCCCAGCCACAAGAGATCCCTTTTTGACTGTCTCTTCTCTGTCTCCTGCAGTTACGGCGGATGCAAGAGATGCTGCAGAAGATGCAGCAGCAGATGCAGGATCAGTGAGAGGCAGGTACTCGGAGGGCAGAGGGAATCCCCCAGTGACCATCTGAGGCCTGGCAAGAGCCATGGATGTTTAGAAAAGGTTTTCCGTTGTATAGAGACTTGTGGGCAAGAGCTGCACCCGCACCCTCTAATTTATTAGCAGCAATGCTGGCTTTGCGGTCAGCTGGATTGTGGAGGAGGCTGTTCACTTAACAGTTTATTGATGTATATTTCTTTTTTAATAATTATTTTATTTTTCTTTTTT